TACTCATATGTTTTGCATGCCTTAGCGGTTAGATCATTGACCACGCGTCCTAGAGAGGACGGAGCATTGTTCCCACAGGGCCGATCACCGATGGCCAACCGTTCCTGCCTACTTTGCCAAAGGTGGCTCAAAAACGTCTTCCCTAGTCTATCTCTTAGATTCTGTTCTTCTCTCTCGGCAAAAGCAACAGATGTCTTCTCCTTGATCCTAGACCCTCCGTATTCAATGTATCGCACTCGTCAATTTCGAACCCCTTCCATACGTCACCTATATCCTTGACCCACTACGTGCGCTGTCTACCCCTCCTCTCGTTTGCCCACTCCACCTCCCAAGCTATTCTCGGAAACCTCTCCTCTCCCATATCGCACATGCGACACTGCCATGTCAGCTTCCGTGCGTCTCTTCCCGATCGTAGGGATCAGATTCCCAGTTATGCCCCAACGGCTGCATTACTTGTGCGCTTGGAGCATCCTAGGATGACTTTCGCTGCTTTCATCTGCGCCGCCTCGAGCTCTTTCACTTCCTTCTTATTTCCTTCCCATACTTCTCCGGCGTACTCTGGCGGTGGTACGATTCCGCAAAACGGTCAATTTGATGCGTGTATCGAAGTGCCGGTTTGCGAGTATTGGGTGCAGCTTCCCTGCTTCTACTTCGCCCTCTTCCCCTACATTCGACATGTTTGCATTCCACGAGCAGTCTTTTGCGATCTCTACTCTGAGGTATGTTTACTGGTCCGATACTGCAGGCTTCTCGACCCTCCACTTCCATCTATGTTCTACTGGTGCCTCCCTGTCCTCGTTGCATACCATGACGGCACTCTTGTTGACGTTGGCACACAATCTCCACTTATCAGTAAACTTCTTCGCCGCGTCAATTTGCATTTGCAGTCCCTCAGGGGTGCCAGACACCCCAACAAAGTCATCCGCAGACAACAACGGCGAGTGGGGGGGGGCTGAATGGGAGTTTGGTGCCTTTCATTTGCAGTCCCTCAGGGGTGCCAGACACCCCAACAAAGTCATCCGCAGACAGCAACGGTGAGTGGGGGGGGGTGGATGGGAGTTTGGTGCCATTCCGTTTGGACGGCCGGTTTNAAGTGGTTGTCCACCTACATACATACGTGGGCGATGCCAGCACCACAGACGCCGAACTACCGTCGACTCACCACTCTGTCCACCGTGCCCTCGGCCGCCTCTTCGCCGGGCGCTACCACTAGCACGCGCCACGATTCCCGCACGGGAATGACCTCGATATCTCCAGCGACATCTCCTCC